AATTAAACAAATATACTAAATTTGATGGTTACTTTCTAGTAAATAAAGAAGTGTTAATAAATCTTACAAGAGAAAAACAATTTTAGTATACAATAAAAATCAGGATTTTGGCAAATAAAAATGGAAGAAAATAGTATACAATATACTATATTTAGCACACCTCAAGAAAAATATGAATGGTTAGTTATGTTATTTGGTCTAAAAATGCACCATAAATATATCAAAGAAAGATGGATAATATATTTAAAAAGTTTAATAAATTTCTAATTGTTTATATATATGATATATTAATACGTTCTAATAGTAAAGAAAAACATAGAAATCATTTAATCCAATTTATTAACGAATGTAGAAATGAAGGAATTATACTATCTAAAAAGAAATCTATAATAGAACAGTAAGAAATAGATTTTCTTGGATTATCAATAGATAAAAAAGAGATAAAATTATAGACTTATATATCCAAAAAGATAGAAATTTTTTCAGATAAATTAGAATCCAAAGATCAAATACAAAAATTTTTAGGATGTTTAAATTATGCAGAATGATTTATTGATTTTTTTTTTAAAAAAAGACATAAAATTCAAGTATTACTTAAAAAAACAAATACTAAATGATGGAATGAAAAACATACGAAAATAATTAAGTCATTAAAAGAAGAATACAAAAATTTACCAAAATTAAGATTACTAGATGGAAAAAATAATTTAATTGTTAATACTGATGCCTCGGATAAATATTGGGCAGCAATATTAAAGACAGATCTAAATGAGATTTGTAGATATTTAAGTGGAACCTTTAATCAAACAGAAATCAACTATACTACTCATGAGAAAGAATTACTAGCAATTATTAGATGAATAAAAAAGTTATCATTATTTTTATTATCCAAGAAATTTGCTATTGAAACTGATAATTCTAAAATTGTAGGATTAGTCAAGAATAAACTACCATCGGAATCCCAATCCAGAAGGGTCCATGGATGACAAGTTTATTTAGCATTTTATAATTTTGATATTGTCCATATTAAAGGTGTTAATAATTTTCTTGCAGATTTTCTCAGCAGAAATATAGAATTTGCTGATGGATAAAACCAAAATCACAGAATTATACCAATCTGTCCTACATATACAAAAAGGACAGATTTTCAGAAAGAAGAATCTGAATATATAAACTCTAGAGTAACCCAGATCTCAGAGATGTTCAACTCAAATATAAAAAAAATTGTTGATTATCACTACTAAGCATCATAAATATCCCATAGAACTCAAAAATCAAGTTGATGCTATTGCAGCACAACTGAGAGATCTGTCTGAAACAGATATACCAAAGAGTTTAGAAATGAATTTTCCAAACCAATACCAAACAGGGACAGCTGGAAGTAACAGTAGACCCAGACGTGACAACATATCAACTGATAATAAAGGAGATTCCATTTCAGTTTCGTCAACCATAAAAATGTTATGATATATGGAGATAAAAAACATACCAAAACAATTAGCATCATAGACTAAGAAGATAAAATCCCTTTAGATCCAAAAGAAGAAAAATATGCCGAAATAGTCAAAATTGCTTATGAAATAAAAATGAGTCATTCATATTTTATCTCTCTGAAAAATAATGTCTATCACAGAATAACAGCCATGGAAGGAGGAGACCGTTCGTTTATAAAAATTATGGCAGACTATGAATTCATGGATTTGATATAATCAGGAAAAGATTTGATTGAAATTTCAAAGTTTGATGACATATTCATAAAAGAAATACCCAGATTTGCCAAGGGACGGAAAATATATTTTAAATTCTATTCAATAAGTCCAGAATATGATGGAGTTGTTTAATATCCAGTTGAACACATTATCTCAATTGGATATATTGCAGCCAATTTCTAAATAGATGTTACAGAAAATAATAGAAACGTTTCGACGGTGACTAAATCATGGATCAGACATAGGAGAGCACTTGAAATTAAATCCATCTACAACATTGGTAAAAATTTGTTTGATAAAAAATTCTCATATTTGTGCCAATATGAAAATTGGATGATGGTATCCAATAGAGGATATGAAAAATCAGAAATTTTAAAAGACTATATTACAAGATTTGATATACATCAATTTATAGGATGTCCTACCACTATAAAAGAATCCTGCCAGTTAAGGGAGTGCCCCAACTGTATGTGAAGAAATAAAGGAAGAGGACAATAATAGAGCAAGGTGTATGGAGAACAATAATAAAGTTGCATGTGAAGACATTGAAGAAAAAGAACAGTAATAGAAAAAGATGCTACATGTGAAGATGTAGGCCCAAGGAGGAAAATAATAGAGAGGCAAGCGTGTTTTTGCTGATATACTGAATGATGTAATAGTCCCATAACCTTGTATAAATAGGGACATTGTCATAGATAGAAAGAATCATCTTATCTTGAAATCTCGAGTTGTAAGCAATATTTACTCTTAAAATTAATCCCAGTTTGAAAAACCAATTTTTTCTGGAAATCCCTTTGTACCAAATAGAAGTTTTGTATAAATTCTAAATAGAAATAAAATTTCGATATTTTGATATCAATATAAGTTTTTAAAACTTTTTCTCATAGATTCTTGAAAGATTTAATAGAAAGTTTCCTTCTCATTTTAACAAAAAGAGAGTTTTTCTTTAACAAAAGTCTAAAATTTTATTCTTAGAAGTTGATACAACAAGAACAAGTAGTTTAAATAGTAACAATTTCGTGAAGGCAAGAGGCCGTTGAAGGAAGCAGTTTACAGATTTAGAGCTCGAAAGTCACTCAATTCTAAGAACAAAAGTCCAGATCAAATCTAAGGTAAAATTATTAAACTTTTGCTAAAATTAGAATAAATCTTTTTAGATCTTAAAAGAATCACAGGGATAATTGCATGATTTAATGATTATTTTTATAAATGCCAGAATATACAATTAAAAGATTAGATAATTTATTAGAAAGAATGTTAGAAGAAATAAAAAATATTATTTCTAGATTAAAAAAATATAGATTTACCATTTGAAGAATATTGTATTTTAATTAGAAAATATGAACTATATGTTGCAGATAATTCTTATTAATTAGATCATTGAATGGATTTATATTCAAACATTCAAAATAGAAGATAAAATGTTTAAAAGATTTGGATATATGTTACAATATACAAATAATCATTTCATTAAGGGTAATATAAACTTTTCTATAAAAAGAAATAGTGATAAGCCAAATTGAAAAACCTCCTAATGCGAGGTCACCTCCTGCCTGGTTGCCACTCCAATGAGATATGCTTGTTTGAATGGTCCTTTTAAGAAACCAAAATTTCAAAGTGAATTCAAATATTAATTAATTAATAATCATGCACTTTATCGATGATCAATACCAATGGAGGAACTTATATAATTCCATTTTTTCAAAAGTGATTATTTGAAAAAAAAAAATAAAAAAAAATACACACACACACACACACTCTTTTTCGATCAATAGTTTTCCAAAAAAGTAATTTTTTCTTTTACATTTCTTTATAATTTTCATTATTTTTTAACTACCCGTTCTTTTAAAAAGTCACTTTTGATATTAAAAAATCATTATATTGCACTTGTTTTCGACCATAAATTTTCCAACTTTTTTTTTTCAATATTTCTCCATAATTTTTTTATATTTTTGAATTACACGTTGCTTAAAAAAGTCACTTTTAATTCCTCATTTTCAAAAAATCAATTCTTAAAAATGAATTAAGGCTCTGTTTGATATGCCTCCATTTTTCAAGGAAAATGGAGATTAAATTCCATTTCTCACTTTTTGGCATGTTTGATAGTAGAAATTTTCCATAAATTTTTTTTTTCTAAACCCATGCCACATAAGCATTTTCTTGCTTTTTGATGAAAAGCCAATTCCCACCCAGTATAAAGTTGTCAATCAAAATTATACAAATAACATGATTCATTAAAAATATCCCCTCGTAGGACCGCCCTTGGCTACACCGCTGGAAGTGAAAGCAATTCATTGATGTCAACTTTTGGTTGAAATGTTGAGGTAAATAGAACGAGATTTCATATTCTTTTACTAAAACGATATTTTTTAAAGGCAAAATGGTATTTTTGATAACACATTTTGTGTGGAATTTAAGTACTACACATTTAGCCCCCTTTAAAACTCTTTAATTTAATTTTTTCTCTCTTCTATTTTTAACTATACACTCAAATTGAAAAAATTTCAACCACACAATTTTCAAAAAAAATACTATTCCCCCAATTATAAATTCAAATAATGGGGGCAAATGAGGGCTTATACATCATTCAATTCTTAAACAATAAAATTTTAACAAAATTAAGGCACTGTTTGAGCCCCTTGTTTCCTCATTAAACGAAATATATGTCCGTTATTCATTACATCAAGTCATCATATTTGACAATTGTATGAGGCCTACAACTGTTATAATTTTCATTCTTATTTTTACAATAATGTGGCTCAAACGGGGCTAAATGATTTCAAACAGTCAACCCAATGTGTAGAAAATGTCAAAATAGTGCCTTGTGGAAAGTTGATTTTCTAATAAGTGATCTAGTGAAAATTGATTTTTTTTTCAAGTAATGTGTAGTTAAAAATGGATATCAAAAAATCGATTTTGAATAAACCAGGCCTCAGTCTCCCACAAAAGTGGTGATCAAATGCAAAGTGATAGATAGACTTTTCTAGAGAATAATACGAATTTATGTTTAGGGAAACAATTAATTTGCAAGTACATTTTTTTTAACAGAATTGGTGCAAAAAGACAGTTATTTTCCTATAATTTATTATTGTCAAAAATTGTTTTTGATAACAGTCAGTTCTGTAGAAAAAATATGCACTTAACGAAATGATGTTTTTTGGTGGAAAAGTTTACTTGGCGGGCAATCGGATTTGTTTGGTGGAAAAGTTTACTTGGTGGGCAAGTTGCAAGATTGAGAAATGATAAGCCAACCATAAACAGGAATAAGCTAGCTTATAAGCCAACTCCCAAACATCTTTCAATAATAATATCCATGCCCCCCAGCACCCTTCTGCAAACCCGCCCGTAAAACCTGTCTCAAACGTAATCCTTCCCAGAAACCCTAAGCCTTAAAATCGTCTAGCCCTCACGCTGTTTAATCGATTCAGACAAATTAGTTTGGATCCATAATCTATTTTACACCACAAACGTTTCATCCTTCGACCCAATCAATCTCGATGGCAACTAGTAAGTTTATATGTATGCAGTTGTATCTTTCTGTTCGTGTATGTGCTTATGTTTTTATCTATATATATTAGTGTTTTACATTATAAAAATTGAAAACTCAATTTTTTTGGGTTTGTTCCTGTATAGGATTGCAATTTGAGAACAACTGTGAAGTTGGTGTTTTTTCCAAGTTGACCAATGCATATTGTTTGGTCGCAATTGGGGGTTCTGAAAGCTTTTACAGGTGTTAGCTTTTATTGTGCCTGCATTATCTTATTATTATTATTATTATTATTATTATTATTATTATTATTATTATTATTATCCCCATTGTTATAAATTATTATTATTAAAAGAAGAAGGAATGGTAGATACAAAATATTGAAGTTATTTTTTGGTGACAGCACCTTTGAGGCTGAATTGGCGGATGTTATTCCGGTGGTCAAAACCTCGATTGGTGGCACTAGAATTATAGGACGCCTATGTGCTGGTGAGAAACTTTTAATGGCTCCTTTTTTTTTTTTTTTTTTCAGTTTTCTGTGTTGGATTAATGCAAACCTGTAAACTTACTTTTTTGTTTAATAATATCTTTTTCAGGAAATAA